TGTGTATTATCTTTTCTATGTTCGTCACTACTCGTTTGTATGTATTTTTAGAGCCCTGACAGGCTGATGAAGGAAGACTGAAGTCTTCTGAAAGCTATCATTACTAAGAAATGAAGCTGGTGTTATGACTTATGAACAGTGAACAGTGTCCCAAAATTTTATTTCAGTGTGAAAAATTGTTCTTGAAATTGGAGATGAAAGTGGAAAATTGATTTCAGTTGGATGTCATTTCCCACCCAAAACTGGCAAATTTTGGGACATTGGTTTTGAACAAACTTAACAATACAATATCACTGTCCCAGGCTCTAGCTGAATAACATCAACATATAACATAATGTTTTGTGTAAGCATCTCGTACAACTGTGTTGCTGTGATAATGAAATCAAAACACATGCATCCTGCATCCATGGATGCAGGATGCATGTGTTTTGAATTCATTATCTGAAAGTGGATAGTAAGTAGAAAGAAGCATTTGTTGTAAGTGATAATTGTGCAATTTCTTGGTAATTTTAGTTTGTATGAAAACGTGTAAGATTTAGGTGATTGAAACTAAACATGGAAGATAATTTTTAGGTCAATTTTTACTTTTTCTTTTTTAATGTTGTTCTTGATATTCCACTTCACTCAAAACACACCAGTTCATAAGTTATTTCAGGGCTTTCACAATAGCCATGTCTTTGTGGTCAATCATCCTCAGAGCAGCCTGAGTCAATTCCATTCATAACTTCCTTAGCCATATATCTCTGATCCTTTTTCAGGACAAGACATGCACTACTACATGTATGCTGTGCCTGGCTCAAGATTCCTATATGTAGCCAGGCTGCCCTACTGACACTGGCAAAATGAATGCTTCCTTGAACAAAGCTAACCAAAGGTGCCATCAACTGTCTTAATCTGAACAGGAAGGAAGCCTAGTTTTCAACATAGACAACAGCTTGTGTGAAGCTGTCACTTTCAGGGTGTGCACCACCCAGTGTTCATTTGTTAACATCAATAATGTGTGACCACGAAAGGAAACCCTTCTGAAGGTAACATCTCTCGACCATTCTAAGATCCTGTTAACAATCCACTACCTTAATATTAACAGGTCTTTTAAATAACCATGCATTTACTATTCCTCTGATAATGCTTGTTATGTTTTCAAATAGGTTCATGTTCTTTCATCCTGATTTTTCAAAGATAAGTATCACTTGAGTTTGTTTTTATTGCAAGTGTGATGCATGTAATTTCATCTTCATGTTTTCTCAGATCGAAGATCCTGCTCGCAGCTATGCCTCATTGCCTAGCATGGCCTCATTGCCTCTTTGAGGTTTACCGTAGTGTTCTCCGTCTGATTGTTATGTGTTGAGGATGAGCTGAATGTTACTGATATTGATACCTGATATCTAATTGTGGTCAATGTTTTGTAATACCGTGACATTTTCCAATGCCAAAGTTTATTTCCAACGAGCCAAAGCTTATTTGCATTGCACTTACGAGCGGTAGTGTGATGTGTAGAACGTGTAGTAAGTAGGTACGATTGGGAACCACTTACTCCGTAACCCAAAGTGGCATGTTTGCATATATGAGAATGTTCAGTGTTCATCGTCTTTAAATAATAAAAGCATTGGCATACCAGGAAGTGGATTGTTCGGTAGTCGCCTAAAATGGTATCAGAGCTGCAATTTTGACACCATCGTGTTCGTGATGCTCAGCCACGTCGAATGATATGCTTTTTCTATGGGTGAGGTCAATTTAGGATGTTGACCTCCGTCCAATGTCAGGTCAGGTCATTACCTCATGATGAGGTCAAGTTGCACGTTATTCAATTCGGAAGGTCTTTCTGAGTCTATTTGTGTCTTTTCCGTCTAAGATCACTGTCAGCGCCAAAATAGCTGTCTCTATACCCCCCCCCCCCCATCGGCTTATAATGGCCAGATCACCTGACCGACCTGACGTTAGGTGACCCTTAGGAGAAATCCGAAGTTAACGCTTTTGAGAATAAGGGAGTTTGATAAGTTCTGTAAGTTTCATCTACCTGCGATAGATCTCCTTGAATTGATGGAGTTGCTATGTTACGACGTTTTCTAGACCGTGCAGAGGTTCACTTATGACGTCATAGGTCAGTGACCTGACCTGACCTGAAAATGAGGTTGGTGCCACAAAATCCGGCTTGAATCAAAGGTCAGGTATACCAACTTACAACCCTCCATCACCAGCGCGCTCACCCCTACTTTACTTTGCAGCAATGGTTTGCCGCACATTAACGATAAAAGTTTTGATCTGTCCGAGATTCGAACACAGGACCTTCCGATGTATCAAAAACATGGGGTCATATATAGACGAATATCTCGAAAACGGTTGGATGGGCTTGAACTTTTCGTCCCAAAAATGGAAATAAAAATGTTGTAGCCATCTTTTGACATACTTTGTGTGTGGATGCCCACACTATGAAACCTTGAAAATCGAGTGCGAAAAGTCGCATTTTAACACGCAACCCAATGGGCTAGTAGGAAAAGTCACGCCCATGCTGCCATATGACTTTGGAGGGGGCTGGGCAAAACATCAATGTCGGCATTCCCCGTAGATCATTTCTCCCATTTTCGGCTTTCCCCGCAGTCCGGGGCAACGCCGAAAAAGTCACTTCTTTGATATTTTTAGTTTGTGCGCTTAAAGGGACCCTCCCACCTTCAAAAAAGTTAATGAATTGGCATGAAAGTGATGTCGCTCGGTTCAGAAAGAGCAAAAACGAATTTCTACCAAAATTTCATCGAAAAATATTCACCGGTTTTTTCAAGATATTAGACTTTTACTTTTGTTTACTTTTTGGGATCTCCGCTGTTCCTAGCGACTTTATTTGAAAGTGCGGCATTTGTTGCGCGCAAAGCAGCATATACCACCGCGTGCTACAAAACGTTTTAGTCAAACATTTAAAAATCGTTAGATATCTGCGCTGACGTCACACATTCAGAGGGGTATTCCTATGCATTAGCCCCTCTGAATCAAAATGCTGCAATTTTGAAATTCAATATTTCCGACTTAAGGCATTTCTCGATGTTGTGAGTGCCGAAACCGGTAATTGTGAGCCAGTAACCCCATTTTGGCTATCTCAACTCAAATCTAATGTTAAGGTGGGAGGGTCCCTTTAAAGGGACCCTCCCACCTTCAAAAAAGTTAATGAATTGGCATGAAAGTGATGTCGCTCGGTTCAGAAAGAGCAAAAACGAATATCTACCAAATTTCATCGAAAAATATTCACCGGTTTTCAAGATATTAGACTTTTACTTTTGTTTACTTTTTGGGATCTCCGCTGTTTCTAGCGACTTTATTTTAGAAGTGCGGCGTTTGCGGCAGATGTTGCGCGCAAATAGCATATACCACCGCGTGCTACAAAACGTTTTAGTCAAACATTTAAAAATCGTTAGATATTTGCGCTGACGTCACACATTCAGAGGGGTATTCCTAAGCATTAGCCCCTCTGAATCAAAATGCTGCAATTTTGAAATTCAATATTTCCGATTTAAGGCATTTCTCGATGTTGTGAGTGCCGAAACCGGTAATTGTGAGCCAGGGACCCCATTTTGGCTATCTCAACTCAAATCTAATGTTAAGGTGGGAGGGTCCCTTTAACGGTATGCGAATTCATCAAATGCGCCTGGTATGTTTGAAAGGCAAAAGACTGGCCTCTCGAATGACGCCAACAAGAATAGCGTATGTTGTCTACCTTGCGTGCTACGGGCGTCAGAAAAAAAGTCTTCGGCGTTCCCCCAACTTCCCCTTACCACAACACAACGCTGACACGACAACTCATGGTCAAAAACACTACCATCATCGACAGATGCCATGACACTCGACGTCTCCGTGTACTGGAAGCCGTTTATATAACCCGCGCCCGCCAATAACTTCTAAGGTCTAAACGCGTTACGCCAGCGACGTCAAACTTTCAGTACCTTATCATACATCAATTTAAGACGTTTCAGGTATTGACGAAGTGTCATTTCGAATCTTCCTCAGGAATTGATGGTAATTCGTATTCGTTTCGGGCTTCACTGAGGTAAAAAATTGTTAAAAACCAAATATTTCGGCTTTATTGAGTAGCCTTGTTCACTGGTTTGAAATATGTATTTCAAACCATATTTCAAACCAGTGAACAAGGCTACTCAATAAAGCCGAAATATTTGGTTTTTAACAATTTTTTTACCTCAGTGTAGCCCGAAATGAATACGAATTAAGACGTTTCCTGTAAATTGGAGCTAAATCTGTCGGATTTTTTTTTTTTTGAGAAAATGACGTTTTAGTGACGTCATGTTCGCCATTTACCTGTGGGCTGTGTAGGTATTACGTAAATATTAGCGCCATTGCTGATCCTGATGATGTCAGATGCTTGACGAAACGTCGAGATGTGCACTGTTTTACTTCGAAAAATTCGAAAAATAGGTGAAGAGGTCACGTGATCAAAATTTTATATAAATTGAAAATCTGAGATAGCCAAAATGTTCATAGGTTGATTGCGAGTTGAACGATTTGAAGTTGTCCTCAAAGAAAACCAATAGTTTCTGAGTTATAAGCCGCCAAACATAGGGTTGCAGCGAGACCTCCAGAAATTGCCCGAGGCTATATCTCGGAAACCGTTGTTCGAAAAAAAATTCCTTGCCACAGCTGGCTTCCCCGCCCATCACAACCCATTACCCCATTAAAGAAAATAACATATGAGGGTGTACGGCTTTGGTCGATCTATCGTGGAATCAAATGGGCCACGATGGGCCCATTTGATGGGCCCATCGAATGGGCCCAGGTGGCCCATTTATGGGCCACCTGTCAAGAGGCCCATAAACGTCAAGCGCCCGTCGCGCTTCGAACCCGGACTGTTGTAACCGGGAACGCGTGCTGTCACCACGCGGAGCCCAACGCTCTACCGACTGAGCTACGGGACCAGCATTTATCTTTTCGAATCGAGCGGTGGCCGGGCTCAAACCACCGGGATTCGGAAGGTCCACCAATGGAACTACATAAAGTTAATCGTAAACTTTTATTTCAAAGTAAAGAAACACAGAGCCATTAAACTGAGCTGCCTGCACTCTTTCAGAGAACTGTCGCCGTGGTGGCGATCTTCTCCTCACAGCCATCAGGCAACTACATATAGGTAAGCACTCCCACTTCACACAGAACTCGGCTGAATAGACAGCGCACATGACAACTAGCTACTTGTACGACACAATCACAGCTGCCGCTGAGGCAGAGCTCCCGACAGGCGGCATCCTGAGGATGTCTGACCCAGACTTTGATACTGATGATGTCAGGTAGTGCCAGCTAGCACATCATGCCTCACCCTCTTCAGCAGCCTCAGACTCGGTCTCGGAAGCACCCTCGGCGCCCTCAGCCCCCTCAGCAGACCCAGCCTCGCTTGCACCTTCGGCACCCTCAGCAGCCTCAGCTCCTTCAGCTCCCTCAGAAGCCTCAGCTCCTTCAGCTCCCTCAGAAGCCTCAGCTCCTTCAGCAGCCTCAGCAGCCTCAGCTCCCTCAGCAGCCTCGGCAGCTTCAGCTCCATCAGCTACCTCAGCAGTTTCGGCAGTCTCAGCAGCCTCAGCTCCCTCAGCAGCTTCGGCAGCTTCAGCTCCCTCAGCTACCTCAGTTTCGGCAGCTTCAGCAGCCTCAGCAGCCTCAGCTCCCTCAGCACCTTCGGCAGCTTCAGCTCCCTCAGCTACCTCAGCAGTTTCGGCAGCCTCTACAGCCTCAGCTCCCTCAGCAGCTTCGGCAGCTTCAGCTCCCTCAGCTACCTCAGCAGTTTGGGCAGCCTCAGCAGCCTCAGCTCCCTCAGCAGCTCCAGCAGTTTCAGATCCTTCAGCAGCTTCAGTGACCTCTGCGACCTCAGCAGCCTCGACAGCCTCGGCAGCCTCAGCTCCCTCAGCAGCCTCGGCAGTTTCGGCAACCTCAGCAGTCTCAGCTCCCTCAGCAGCCTCGGCTCCCTCAGCAGCCTCGGCACCCTCAGCAACCTCGGCTCCCTCAGCAGCCTCGGCACCCTCAGCAGCTTCAGCGCCTTTGGCAGCTTCAGCAGCCTCAGCTCCCCTAGTAGTCTCAGCAGCCTCAGCTGCCTTAGTAGTTTGACCAGTCTGGGTGGCCTCAGCAGTCTGATCAGCCTCGGCTGTCGGCTCGGCTACAGACTCGGGTGCGGCAGTCTCAGAGGCCGGAGTGCCTTCCGTGCCTTTAGGGGTCTCGGCGGCGGCGTGTCCGGCCGTCTCGGCAGTCGCCGAGGCTGGCGCAGTCTCGGCGAGGTGCTCGGCCTGGGTCTGTGGGTCGGCGGGCTGGGCAGCAGCGGCCTTCTGAGGGTGGTCGGCCGGCGCGGCCAGCTCCGCCGCGGCGCCAGCGCCGGCTGGATGGGAGGTCGGCATGGCCAGGGCGGCGCCGACGGCCGCGGCGAGCAGCAGCTGCAGGCGCACACGGGGTCAGAGCGTCAGAGACGGAACACACGGAGCACACGGCATCCAGGATACCCACATCGCCCCGGCCAGGAAACGGATGCGGGATAGATAAACGACTCAGAAAAGCAAAAAAAATGAAAAAACTTATTTTTCCCCAGTTCTAACGAATAAGACTCCGGTTGAAACATGATAAACACTAAAAATGGATAAGTATAGGTATCTTTATGATGCTGTCTCTATGTGGTTCATCTCCACACTTAAACGACAAAAGTTCCCGCGTGAACAGCCTGAGAACCGATTCGCGTCGTTCAGGATAGGTAACGTAACGAATCTCACCAGGATGCGCATGTTGACGTGTTTTGTCCGGTTCCACTGAAGGGAAGTGCTTGCTTTGGACGCAGTGCTGTGCGCTTTTATAGCTGGACCCGCACATGGGTCGTCCAAGGTCGGGGCGTGCGTACCCGCGGACGGAGGCACGGGTGTGCTCACAGGGACGATTTTACGCCGTCGCCGCCGGTGCTCGGTCGGCCGGCTCCTGGCCGCTGGCCACGATCGGTATCCTGTCCGCCCTCGGCGCGTCGATATCTCATTTGCGTTCGATTTGGTGAAGAAACTGCGCACCTGTACCTACCACGCAGACATTTGACAAAATTGGGAAGCGCACGAAAAATACAGCTTTGCGTTTTATCAAGCATGCTAGCAGGTATAGTGTTGTTGTTTTTTACAGTGAACGAGGGGCGGCAACAATAGACATATTTTCATAATTTAGGTACCTTGAGCTCGGGCAGCCACTCGTGTTCCTATAAACTGCTGAAAACGAACGTGCCCTATGCACGAAAGTGCCCCGTTTTCCCTTACACATAGCTCCCCCCAGATTACCTATATTTGTTAGGAATAATGCGTATTTTCCTGAACAAGTCATATCGGGCTTCTTACCTCGTGGGTGGGTTAGATGCCCAGTGCCCACCCCGCAGGGGAGGGTGCAACTAAGCTACAACGCCTCAAGGTTGCTTGGAACGCGTTAGCTATAGAGAGCTGATAATCTACCTAACTGACATTGGATTCAATCAGGATCTTTTGGCACCAGAAGTTTTTACAGGTCAGGTCATGTTACTGATCTGTGACGCTTCTTATCCCGCGACCTGGTGGGGGGGGGGCTATTTTTTGCCCCCCCCCTCTCCAGACTTTTCGATATATCTCCAGAACCGCTGCGCCGATCGTCACCAAACTTTCAGTACCCTCCCAGACATCAATTTTACACATTGTGACCAACATTCTTTCCAAAGGCTATGATAGGTTGGCCGGAAATGACGTCAGAGTGACGTCATGTTCTGCCGTTTTCGACCCAAAAAAGGGTTTCGCGGGAAGAGCTGTCAGGCCTATAGCTTTGCAAATACAGAAAAATGATAAAGACATAAAAGCTGTAGAATGAACAGGGCTACAAAACTGCAATCTCGGATTTTTCAATTTTTTTGGATTTTGACCCTCAAAAATCAAAAAATAATTTTTTTGGATATAATAATCGAAAAATCCAAAAAGTTTTTTGAATCTCGCAAAAACAGGAATATATGTGATAGTCCTTACCGCCTTCCATCCACATACGAAATTTGAGATTGATACCTCTTTTTTTTGGCGAAATTATAGCGAAAAAACTGTTCAAAATTGATGACGTCAAATTTTCAAACTCAATTTTTAGCACTTCTAGACCCCGTAGCGCAAAACAAAGACCACCATTAGACTCCCCGTGACGAGCTGCATCGAATCAATACCCATTTTATGCAAAACTATCAACTTTAAAATTTGACCTTTTTTGGCCTGACCTTGACCTGACCTTGACCTGCACTTCACCAGAAAGTGACCTAAGCCGTACCTGATAGTCTTATAACCAACACCATTGAGTTGGAAATGAAAAATTGGCCATAAAACATGCATCACACAACCTTAGTAAAGTTGGGCTCATGTGACCTGACCCGTGACCCTTGGTGACCTGACCTGTGACCTGACCTGGTATTGTCAGTGACCTCTAATAGCAACATATCTACTAGGCAACTGACGCCCTATCGCTGATTCTCGACAAAATGCGTTTTCCTCGGTGTTATAGCGCATTCCCTAGAAGACCCGTGAACGGTGAAACATTTCATCTTTGACCTGACCTGTGACGTCATCGGTGACCCTGCGGTCAATGAAATTTGGTTTCCTTCGACAAATTTGACAGGCCTTTCGAACGCCGTTTGAATTTTGCGGATCCGTCCAGTAGTTTCGGAGATACGAGGGGGGGGGGCAAAAAATAGCCCCCCCCCCCACCAGGTCGCGTTATAAACAGACCCCACCAGGGCGCGGGTTATGACGGTCATGTTGCAGGGGAGCCTCTGCTTGGTCCAAGAATGTCGAAACGCTCTAAGTGCAAAGGAATCTTTCGCAGAGAGATGAAACATAGCCCTCGCCGGCACAGGCCATTTTGCGTCCTTCGACGGCACAAGGGGGGGGGGGGGGGGTACGAACCCCCTCGCGTTCGGCCCCTGATCGAGCTAGAGCTTCGCGGAAAAAACGAGGGTGTTGCCCGTCACGAGAGGAAGCCGATGATACCCAATTTTAAGGTCCTAGGTCATCGCGTGACCTTCCAGGTCAGGTCAATGACCCGAAAACCGTGAAAATCGGGACCTGTTAGAAAGTCGTAAAGTGTAGCTGCTATGTGGTTTTCCGGGGTGCTGATCACGAATATCGTGTTAGTTTTGATCAGAGATGATGTTTTTAAGCATTTAGACCAGGTCGGGTCAGGTCAGGTCAGGTCAACCCGTAGGGGTTGTGACGGGTATTCGTAATACGTGTCAACCGCCTCTGACAGCTTCATAACAGGTTACGAAGGCACCAAAACTACTTCTTAAATGTTCGAATGGTTGCTAAATTCGAATTCAGCTCCAAAAACTAGCCTAGAAACATGTAAAACTCGAAAAAGTGAATCGAAGTCACCCGAGGTCACCAAAGGTCAATGACCTGACCTGACCTTCAGGTGACCTTGAAACCCACCCTAATGTATGGGAGCAACATCAAATCACATGTTTGAACGTTTGAAACCATGAAAAGCTTGCAAACGCGCGGCTAATGCGAGCCGACATACGCCGAATCGCGATTTCGGCCAAACATGGTCACGGAAAAGAGGTAACAGGTCAAAGGTCATTGGGGTCAGGGTCATGAAATTTTCAGGGAACGTGTAAAATTGATCAATGCGAAGGTACTGAAAGTTTCGCTGCGATCGGCCGCTTTTTACGCGAGTTACTCGCGAAAAACCTTAGGGGGGGTTGCATCAACCCCTCCCCCTGTGCCGGCGAGGACCCTCCCACCCAAGGCCGTATATAGGCCTATAAAAAGTTAATGAATTGGCATGAAAGTGATGTCACTCGGTTCAGAAAGAACGAAAACGAATATCTACAAAAATATTCATCGGTTTTCAGGGTATTATACTTTTACTTTTGTTTACTTTTGGGGATCTCCGCTGTTCCTAGCGACCTTATTTAGGAGCAATAGTTTGGCAGCTGAAAGTGCGGTACTTGTTGGGCGCAAAGCAGCATATACCACCGCGTGCTACCAAACGTTTTAGTAAAAGATTTAAAATCGTTAGATCTGCGCTGACGTCACACATTTAGATGCATTAGCCCTTCTGAATCCAAAGTGCTGCAACTTTGAAATTATATATTTTCGATTTGAGGCATTTCTCGATGTTGTGAGTGCTCAAATCGGTAAGGGCAAGCCAGGACCCCCATTTTGGCTATCTCAGCTCAAAATTAATGCTAAGGTGGGAATCGGGATGGTCACTTTAACCCGGCGGCCGCTAGGCCTCCGCGGAACCCGCCGGCCGCTGGGGGAAGGGGGTATATAGTTGCCCCCTTTATTTCTGCGACGATATCGTCGCAACGCGTATGCATACTTTGTATACATATTTCTGAATACCTAGCCGAGGTGGCACGTTGGATGTCGCTGTTGTATTTGGCTGACGCCTATTCCCTGCACTGCGTCTTAGTCGCGACTGGAGGCGTACCCTGCCGAGCGGTGCCCCTGTTCGCTGATAGAATCTCAGGCGGGCCCGCTCGGCTGACCTTGCTCACCGGAAGACACGTCCGATCCATTGTCCCACCGGAGGCGGAGGCCGGTATTCCAACTTCCAGCGACCGCCCGGAGCGCAGCTTGCGTCACCAGGAACAGGGGCCGATAGGGATCTGTCGAGGTAGGTCAGAGTGGCACACACGCACCCCCCCCCCCCTCCCCCCACACACACACACATCTATGCCGGTGGCCGTCTGTGGCTATTTAAGTCTGTGGCTATTTAAGTTTAAATTTAAGGCCCAAAACGCTGAATTTTGTTCCCTCTGTGCGAAGAAGTGTTCCGCACAGGACATATTTTACTCCGAAGTCCTAAAAAAATAATTATCTCAGATTATTCCATCAGGTTCACCAAAGAAGTGAGGTCAGCCACGTGACCTCACGATTAGGAAGTCAATGGGGTAGCCGGTAGGGGAGAGTCAGAGTTGGGAAATTATAGCTTTCTCTAAAAACTAACAACATATTTTTGCGCCTTTTCAACGCTGGTGGGTCTTGGATTTATTTGTCTTTCCAATGTCTGGGCGGCCACATTTAGCTCCTACGTGTACTAATGGCGTGCGTGTCTGTGGCAGGGGCCGCACAGAAGTCAGGTAACGTGAGTAAGCGGAGGGGACCGTGTCCAGTCGTGAGGGCACGTTAAACGTTCGGACAAAATTCTGCCATACAACTGGAATTGCGCGATCGGGTGGCGGGGTCATGGGGTCAGCACAACAAGCTATGCTTAGTGCGGACTCTGATTCCTCAAATCCGCCCATTCAGCCATTCGGACTAAATTTATAAAAAAAATGTCAGTAGGGGAAGATGAGGGAACACCGCCCTTTGGGGAGCACCGCCCTTCCCGATATCAGAAATATGAAAAGGCCTAGGGCGACAGCTGACTGTCTTTTGGCAGCGTGACGACAACAGAAGTGCAGGTACGAGTATGGGCAGTGCACCGCATTGGTTTAGGTGATTTGCGAGAAATTCCTAATTTTACGTTTCGTGAATACGTTTTATACTTTTTCTAGCATACCTAGAAAAAGTATAAAACAGAAGAAAACTGATCTTATTTGACAGACATTAGTCCTGAAGTGGTATTTTTGCCATAATTAGGACTCATCCAAGCATTACGTGCTCCTGCTCGAGCGCAATTTTGGTCGTGCAGCCATAATGAAGGATTTTTAAAAGAAAAATGCAGACACTTGGGTAACACCGCCCACTTGGGAAATTTGGTATAAATAATAGCGCTTTGTGACACCTGACCCAGGAGTGGCGCATTTCAAATTCAGAAAGAACGTTGTTGCTGTGTTTTCTTTTTAGAGGAAAATGAAAAAATTTCGAGAAAATGAAATATTGGGAATATACGGACCATAAATCATGTGTCACGTGACTGATGCGTGATAGGTATAAGATTTCCGTGACTTTTGATGACCTGACCGTGACCTGAAAATCAAAGTAGGTACCTACAAGTTTGGTACCCTCAGGGTATCTAAAGCATCTATTTACGAGTGTGTAAACAAGGCATGAGCCTGCTCTGACTTGTAAAGCGGCGGCCAGAGCCCAAACTGTAAAGAAAGCAAAACGTTAACCCGCGCCGGGCCGGTGCTCTGAGATTCCGCGCCGGGCCGGGGGGGGGGTGTCTGAACACCCCCCCCCCCCTTCTAACTCGGCTCCTGAGCCACG